TTCTTTAAAAAAAAAAAAAGAAATTTAATATTAGTGGAACTTTCCAGATTAATCCACGCCAATGCTACACATTAGCACAAATCCACATTGCGGGGCCCCAACTTGCAGACCCCTGGGCCTGCTAGGTGTTCCGTCCCAGCAAGGAGATATGGGGTTTCCCCTTCTTAGCTTGCTGCACACCTGACACAGGAAGAAGACCGGGGTGGTTTTCTGAGGTTGACCTTACGGCAAAGTCTAGTACAGAGCGGCCGTCACTGTATTTTATGGTCCAGGCATTTTGTGACCTTGAGTCCTCCCCACAGCTGCTGAGGGGTTTGCTGAGCTGGGATTTCGTCTAAAGATTTAGTTTTCTTTTTGCCGAGACACTGACAATTTGCCATGAACTTGCAGCTTCCACACCCACTGTGGTCAGGCTTGAGGAACAGCCTTCTCTGTTTTGACTTTATAAATAGTAAAGCGGGGAAGCTGAATTAATATTTCATTTTTATGTGGCCCCTTCACTCAAACCGGCCAAATTGCCGACTGCATTCGCTGATGACTTGACAAAAAGGCTGATATAAATGTCCCCAGGTGACCCCTGGCATGATCGAGCAGTCTAGAAAGAGACCAAATTAGCAGGTCCCCTGTTCTGCCTTTATGCCGAGTAAGCAGTAGGCTTAAGTTGCATTTATTTGTTTGTTTGTTTGTTTATTTATTTATACTTATTTTAGAAAGAGAGCAGGAGAGGAGCAGAGAGAGAGAGAGAGAGAGAGAGAGAGAGAGAGAATCCCAAGAAGGCTCCACACTCAGCACAGAGCCCGACGCAGGGTTCAATCCCACGACCCTGGAATCACGACCTGAGCCGAAATCAAGAGTCAGACGTTCCAACAGCTGAGCCACCCAAGTGCCGCAGGCTTATGTTGCTTCTAAACACATTTTGTCGGGGTGCCTGCGTGGCTCAGTCGGTTGGGCGACTGACTTCGGCTCGGGTCACGATCTCAAGGTTCGTGGGTTCGAGCCCCGCCTCGGGCTCTGTGCTGACAGCTCGGGGCCTGGAACCTGCTTCCGATTCTGTGTCCCCCTCTCTCTGCCCCTCCCCTGCTTGCGCTCTCTCAAAATAAGTAAACCATTTAAAAACAATAACAACAAGACAAGCCCCCCCCCCTCTGCCCCCCAGAGCTGCTGCCTGAGCTCAGCTCCCTGCCCCAAGTCAATCCCTGAGAGTGGACCACACTCTCCCCACCTCCCTCCTGGACCGTCACCACCTCAGCAGCCCCTCCATTGCTGCTCCCAGCCCCCACCCAGGGACCTCGGTCCTCTCTCGCCCTCCCCCTTCACATGCTCCTGGGCCAGAGACCCCAAGCGGCCCTGAGGCCTGACAGCCCCTCTCTCCCAGGGAGGGTGACTTCGGAGCTGGCCACCCCCCTCGGCTGAAGTTTGATGATGTGAAATCGGGCCTCTGTGCCAACTGGTTTCCTTTGTCCTCAATAAACATCAGGTTTTGTAATTAAAAAACAAAAACCCCCCAAAACCTTGGGGGCCCCGGGTGGCCCAGTCGGTTGGGCATCTGACTCTTGATTTCTGCTCAGGTCACGATCTTGCGGGTCATGGGTTCTAGCCCTGCGTTGGGCTCTGTACTTTCAGATTCTCTCCCTCTCTCTTCTCTGACCCTCCTTCACTGTCTCTCTCTCTCTCTCTCTCCCTCTCTCTCTCTCTTTCAAAATAAATAAACTTTAAAAAAGCCAAATATTAAAAAAATAAAATAAAAAAACAGATCAGTCCTCACATGAGACTGGTACTAAGAGGCCCACAGAATCTTTTCAGGAATGACGGGAATGTTCTTTATCCTGATAGAGGCCATGTTTCAAGGTTGAGTACATTTGTCAAAACTCAGCCAATGCAGTTTACAGTTCTTAAGTTATGACTCCAAAAGGTTTATTTTAGTATTAGTTTTTATTTGAGAGAGAGAGAGAGAGAGAGAGTGGGAGAGGGGCAGAGATAGAAGGAGAGAGAGAATCTCCAGCAGGCTCCTTGCTCAGCGCGGAGCCCCACGTGGAGCTGTATCTCACGACCCTGGGATCGTGACCTGAGCTGAAATCAAGAGTCGGAGGCTCGACTGTGCTACTCAGGTGCCCCCAAAAGGTTTATTTTTCAGTCTTTATTTTTTTTTAATTTTTTTAATGTTTTATTTATTTTTGAGACAGAGAGAGACAGAGACAGAGTGCAAGCAGGGGAGGGGCAGAGAGAGAGACACAGAATCTGAAGCGGGCTCCAGGCTCTGAGCCGTCAGCACAGAGCCCAACACGGGGCTCGAACCTATGAACCGTGAGACCATGACCTGAGCCAAAGTCGGATGTTTAAACCGACTGAGCCACCCAGGCACCGCCACACTCCTTTTCTGTTTTATTTGTTTGAGTCATCTCTACACCCGCCAAGGGGCTCACACTCACGACCCCAAGATCAGGAGTCACGTGCTCCTCTGAAACAAGCACCCCCCTTTTTGTTTTGTTTTGTTTTGTTTTCAACGTTTATTTATTTTTGGGACAGAGAGAGACAGAGCATGAACGGGGGAGGGGCAGAGAGAGAGGGAGACACAGAATCGGAAACAGGCTCCAGGCTCCGAGCCATCAGCCCAGAGCCCGACGCGGGGCTCGAACTCACGGACCGTGAGATCGTGACCTGGCTGAAGTCGGACGCTTAACCGACTGCGCCACCCAGGCGCCCCAGCACCCCTCCTTTTTAAGTTTCTTTCTTTCTTTAAGTAATCTCTCCACCCAGTGGGGCTCGAATGGACCCTCCACACTCTCGTCCTCGGCCTGGCTGTTCCATGCCAAGTGTTTCCCCTGGCACGGCCCTCTCATTTTCCTGACGACCACACATTCAGGAGGTTCATGTACGAGTGAAGGCCTGCACGTATTTATGAGTGTATTTAAGACACAAACCAGACAGCAGAGCTGGCTTCAGGGGCATGAGACCCACGCAGCGACACAGCCCCCTCCCCCCACCCCGTGTTCACAAAGGCCCCACGTGCCACTTAATGCTCTGCCTCCACCACCTTGAAACTCTTAATATTTTTTTTAAGTTTATTTACTTTGAGAGAGAGAGAGAGAGAGAGAGAGAGAGAGAGCAGGGGAGGCACCGGGAGAGAGGGAGAGAGAGAATCCCAAGGAGGCTCTGTGCTGACTCGAGGCTCAACCCCACGAACCGCGAGATCGTGACCTGAGCCGAAATCGAGAGTCTGACACTTAACCGACCGAGCCACCCAGGCGCCGCCCCGATTCTTAATAATTTTGAAGCTGGGGCCCCACATTTTCATCTTGCATCAGGCCCCCCAATTATGTGGCCCGTCCTGACTGGTGGCAACACCCAACCCTGGGGAAGAATGAGAGCAGGAAGATTCTCTCGTAACCTTCTGTCTGCAAGCCTTCGAACGTGGGTAACTTATGTGTGTATATCCAGCGCGTGAGGGGAGATGTTTAGGGAGAATCCAGGCACCCAGTGGAGAGGGTGTGGGCTGGGAACGGGCAGAGCTGGGTGGATTTCTTGTTTCTAGCAAGTGAGTTACCTGTCCACTCACCTTGGGTAAATTAATTACTCTGCCAAGAGTCTCTCCTCCTGGAAAAACAAATAAGCAAACTGGGAATGGTTTCCTACCTCCTAGAGCTGCCCGAATGGAACGAGTCCGCGGGGTGAAGGTGCTTGGTCGGGAACACGGGTAACAAACCGCTGCTTGTTACTGGGTGAGCATGAGGGGGGACAGGCGGGGCAGAAGTGCCCTGGAGGACCCACTAGTGACTAGAGACAAGAGGCTGGGGTCAGAAGTCTCGGCTGAAACACTCTGGGCGACAAAGTGGGAGAAACCAACTCCGATCAGCTTCAGCCGGCCGAGACCCTGGGCAGGGGGAGAGAGGATCCAGCTTGGTTGTGCCAGGATGGGAAGCCCCCCCCACCCCCACCCCTGCAGGACCTCGCAGCAACACTTGTCTCTGTACTTAGCGCCCAGCGGGGAGGCCTCCGGTTACCGCCTCTCTCCGCTGAGCCCAGACCCCTGTTGCTAGGGGACCGGTAACTGGGCTGGGTGCTCCTTGGGTGAGGGCAGGTGGGTGGGGGCAGCAGCCCAAGGCGGCAGCAAGAGGAGATGGAGGGGACAGGGCAGGTGCACACCCACTCGGACCAAAGACCAAAGTGGGGGGGGGGGGGGGAAGAGTTGCCACGCGGTTGGCTCTCACTTTAGCTGCATGACCACAAAACCTCGAGGGGCCTTCTGCAGCCCCGAAGTCCCACCCCTGGGGGGTCTTGGGGGGCCCCTGGGGGGACTTTCCACACCCTCACTTCCCGCCCCTATTCTCAACATCTCCTCCCCTCTCCTCTGTCAGCCAACGAGCTCGCTTCCTACTTCACAGAACAAAAACCCACAAAACCCAGGAGAGAAGTCCACCCACTCGCGCGATGCAGCCACCAGCCTACGGACAGCTGCGCCTGCCCCTGCGCCCCCTGCCTGTCGCTGGACTGTCCAGACACCCGGGGCCCCGCCCCTCTGCGGGGCACCGCTCCCGCTCCCTGCTGCTCCGCGACCCCATCCAGCGGTAGCGCCCCCTGCAGGCGCTGTTTTCTCTTCCCTCCCTTATTCCCACCAGGCTGCTCTTCTCCTATCGGAAGACACCTTTCTTCAGGGTGTATGGAGTTCGCTGAGCTACTCTTTCTGCTTTTTGGAGGGTTTGGATTTTTTTTTTTTAATATCCCGTTCAGGGGCCGCCCTCTCTGCCTGCTCCCCTTCTGTTCCTTGCCTTTCCCTCCTTTACAATTCAGTCCAAAGGGCACGAGGGGGGGAGCGGGGCGGTGGAGGGGGGAGAGGCAGCTGTCCTGGGTGGCCGGGTGGGGTGTCCGACTCACAGTCTGGTGAGGGGGAGTCCACACGGGAGGGTGGCCTGGTGGGAGGTATCAGAGCCTGGGGGAGGAATGGGGGGGGGGGGAATCCTTGCATGGGGTCATCGCCCGGAGTGAGGAAGGCAATGTGTGTGGTGAGGGCAGCAGCTGCGTGATGTGGGGGGGGGGGGGGGGCAGCCCAAGCAGGGTGAGGAGGGCACCCCCCTGTTTCGTTCTCCAGAGCACCAACTGCCACGGGAGGTATTACAGATGCGTTTGTTTGTTTCTTGTTTATTTCCGAATCTGCCCCGCCCCCCACCTGAATGTCCCGCAGGCAGAGTCGTTGTCACCGCAGTATCCTCAGGGCACAGGACCGTGTCTGGTGACATTTGACAACGTGTGTTGAATGGATGAGTGAAACTTGGAGCCTCGTCCCTTGGTGGTGGCACAGACCGCGAGGCTTGGTGACACCTGCAAGGGGCAGCGGGGGAGAGGGGAGAAGTGAACCGTGAGGCGGGTTTCTGCTTTGGCCAGGGTGTCAAGAGGGACCGCTCTCACGGCGGCAGGAAGGAAGGGAAGGACCGGGCTAGGTTGGGCAGGAAATTGGGCCGGGGTCAGATTCCGTTGAGGGGACTGCCAGCGTCCAGGTGGAGATGCCACAGGGCTGCTGGGGAGGAGCTGGGGAGCTGGGAGGGAAGCGCTGGAGGGCTCCCCTCTCTGGGCACAGGAGCTGCTGGGAGGGTTAGAAGCTAGAGGCCGGGCGGAGCGGCCCAGCACCGAGCTCAGCCAGAGAGCGGCTCTGGAACAATCTGCCTCTTGCGTGAAGGAATTGAGAAAGGAATAGGAAGTCTGAACGTACAATATATTCTCAGCAAAATGAGCTTCGCTGCTGCAATACGTGCCCCCAAATCACCAGCAGCCCAAGCACGGCAACCCCGGGGTGGAGGCGCACGTCCCTACCCCCGGAGGACCCTGGGCAAGGAGGAAAGGGAATTGCCTGCGCGCGGGCTCATCGGCGCCTTCGCCCAACGCGCCGCCGGGGAGCGCGTGCGGGACGTCGCTGAGCGCCGACGGGACGGTGGTGGCGTTGACCTCCTGCCGCCACCAGGTGGCGCCCATGCCTTCCTGGAGCCCGAGCGGGAGGCCCCGAGCTGAGCGCCCCGCGGGAGGACTGGAGGGTGGCCCCGGTCCGGACCCACCTCTGCGTCTTTGTCGGGAGCAGCCTCGCGTCCCACCCTGCGCTCCTTTGGGGGTGGGGGTGGGGGTGGGGTACACCCAAAGCTGGCTTCCGGACCAGAGGGCACTGGCAGCCCGAGCCCCCAGCAGACTTAGCCTTCTATCCGCACTCAGCCACTTAATACTGCCTGAACGGAGGCATGTGGCTTCACGTCTGCCTCAGTTTCCTCGTCTGCAAATAGCAGCGTAATCCCCACCTCGCAGGGGCGTTGCAGAGATTAAATCACGTGGTGATGGTGATATACATATATTTTGCTTTTTTTTTTTAAGTTTATTTATTTTGAGAGAGAGCGAGAGAGCATGGAGGGGCAGAGAGAGGGGGGGAGAGAGAATCCCAAGCAGGCTCTGCATTGTCAATACGGAGCCCAGTGTGGGGCTCAAATCCACCAACGGTGAGATCATGAGCTGGGTGAAACCAAGAGCCGGATGCTTAACGGACTGAGCCCCCCAGGTGCCCTGTCTTGAGCTCTTACTAAGGGCCGGGCATTGTTCTAACCGCTTTACATAGAACACCTCACGTTATTTATTTAATTTATTTCTTAATTTATTTTAAGTGGGCTCCACACCCAATGTGGGGCTTGAGCTCACAGCCCTGAGGTCAAGAGTTGCAGGCTCCAGCCAGGTGCCCCCATAACACCTCATGTTAATAGTTCCCTTCTACGTGGAGCGGCTTGTGACCCGAGGCTGGGTCTCCTCTGCAAAGGGAAGGAGGCGTCCCGCTGGCCCCGGGGTGCTGCTCGGTACTGGGGGGGGGGGGGTGCCATCCAAAGAGGGCAGAAAGGGGCGGGCACGCCTTTGAGGCTAGAGGCCGGAGGGCCTCTCTCGTTTGCAGTCTGCAACCCAGCAGCCCGGCCTACGGGGAGCGGAGGCAGCGGTGGTGGTGGTGGGGGGGGGTGCAGAGCCCACCCACGGCCCAGAGAGCAGCAGAGGGACCGGTGACGCAGACGGTGCCTCCGGGCCTGTCCATACCTGGCTTCTGCTGTGGTCTGGCAGCCCCCAGAGGCTTCTGGGAAAGGGACCCCTGTCGTGACGGGTGAGTGAAGGCCACAGCACGACATTGTGGTTTCGACCTCAGAGATGGGGGGTGGGGGGCCGCGGTGCCTTCCGTACGGTGGCCAGGTTCCGTGGGCCTGGGGGGCTCCATCTGCGACTCTGTGGGATGACGGGGACCTGGACGTCGTGTCCCGGGGCCGGGAGAGCTGGGGTCCAAGTGAGGGCTCCGGTGGGGGGGGGCCTTCGGGGCGTTGTCTGCCCGCTCCTTGACCTCACCCCTGCCTGGGTACCTCTTCTCCTTGCTCTCATTCTGACGATGCCTGTCAGGTGTGAAGCTAGAGGACTGGGGCTACCCCGAGTCCCCGGCTTGAAAGGGAAGGAGGGTTCTGGACTCATCTGGAGTTCTGAGTCCTTTGGGCTGTCAGCCGGCTGAACCCCCTCCCTGGTACCACCACCCCCGTCTCTAACAAAGGAACCAGGGCACTTGGACCTTCCGCTCACACATTGCAGGAAACAGACTCTCAAGGGATGAGCCGTCGGTCGGCAGCCTTTTCTTACCACCCATTCCGATGTGCTCAGACCAAGGAGCCAGAAACAGTGCTCCCCCTCCGCCCTCCCTCCGCCCCCCTGTCCGCTCACAGGCCCAGAACAAAAACACACCACAAATAGAAATCAAAGTCTGAGAAAGGATCAAGGAGCCATGACCCGGCCGTGGGAAAGGCTGTGTGGCCTTGGCCAAGTCGCTTAACTTCTCTGAGTCTGTTGGCCCGTCTGTAAACGGGGGTGGGCGCACTAACCTTGAGGAGCCGCTGTGAACAGGTGAGAGGAGATGTCAAGTGCAGGACACAGATGTAGCGTTTGCTCTACAAGACACAGCCCCTAAAAATACAGCGGAAGGGTCTTTCCTGGACTCTCCCACCAGCACCCTCACCCCACGCCCCCACAGCCCAGGCTGGGGCTGCCCCTTCGCCACTTTCCTGTAAGGCTGCGGGTGGAAGGGCGGCCAACGCCCGGGGAGCGTTTCTGCAGCCTTGCTCTCAGGCTCCACTTCCTGTTTTTCTCCCCAACGAATTTTGCACCATTGCCCTTTCATCAGCGCACGCTGGGGGGTGGAGAGGTGAAGGTGAAGGTGAAGGCCGAAGCCCGCTGGGGGAAGGAACCCTGGGGGGCGGAGGATCCCAGGGGTGGGGGCCTCAGGAAGCTGGGGAGAGCAGTGTATTCCATGCGTTGCGCCATCCAGCTGCCAGGCTCTGGGCTCTGTGGTCTCCAGCTCGGAGCACAGGCAGCAGCGGAGGTTGGGAGGCTGGTGGGGGAAGCCGGGGTGGGGGGGGGTGTGGGGGGGTGCGGCTGCCAGATGGGAGGAGCAGAGGCGCCCTCCTTCCCATCCTCATTCTGGAAGCAGTGGTTTTTCCTAGACGTGGGAGCAGAACCCACGGATGGACCGATCCAGGCTGAACCCCCATGTCTGGTGACATGAGGGGTGGAGGGGCCGCTCTGGAAGGTGAGTCTGGACTCCCTGAGGCTGTCAAGCCTCTGAGCATCTGGCTCCCAGTCCCTGGGTGTTGGGCGCCTGCTGGAAGGAAAGGAAGGAGCTGTTCCCACGCTGGCAGGACCAGGACCTTTGTCCTTCCTCTCCCTTGGCTGCAGACCCCTGACCCTCTGCTGGGCAAAGCCTGTCCAGCCATGACTGGGTCATTCATTCATTCATCCCACACTTCTACAGACTCTCTTGTAACACTCTGGGTGCCGACACCGAGCTCACGCCGGGATGCCAGCCCGATCCACGCGGAGGCCCCGCTCTGAGGAGCAGCCAGCACCCTGGCAGTCGGAACTGAGCAGACCGAGTGCTACAGTGGGGGATGCAGCAGCCTGGAACAAAGACCCTTCTAGACAGGGGCCACGTGGGCGATATCTGTGCCAACCGGCCAGGCAAGGAAAGAGGCGGAGAGGGCAAGAGGAACAGTTGGGAAGGGCAGTCCAGGCAAAGGGAACAGCATGAGCAAAGGCCCAGAGTCAGGGAGCTTGGGGTGGTCCGGAGCCACAAGTCGCAGCCCTTGGTGCAGCATGAAGGGCGGGGGGAGGTGGTGGGAGATAACCCCAGGGGGCTAGTCCAGTTGGCTCTCTTGATTATTAGATGTCTTAAGTTTGTTCTCCAGCCGCAGCTGAGCCCGTGCCCCAGGGTAGGTCGCTGTCCCAGCAAATGAGTGACCCCAAGAATCAGAAATCAGTCGCTGACCGCTCAAGCAGGAAAGGAGACTTTATAGCAAAGGCACAGGATGTTCTCATGGAGCCCGGACACGCAGCCCAGTTTGGAGCACGGGCACTCAGAGCTCTTGGATTCTTTCTCGGCACCGCTTGCTTGCCTGTCCCATTTGCCCGCCTGCGTCCCACCTGCCACGCTGATGTGGCCTGGATCCCTTCTCCCAGAGAGAACTATGTCCGGGTCCCAAACCCCGGGAAGCAGGAATCGGTTATGGCCAGTGGTCAAGTTTATATGTTACATTTCTGTCATGACAAAGCGAGGAAGGGCTACGAGAAGAGGGGGCCAGATGGACAGCCAAGAGCATCCACTCTCCATCACACACACACACACACACACACACACACACACACACACATGCTAATTCCTTCGGCTTTCCCCAGATATCTCCATTCTGATTGGTCTTGCTTAATCGTTATACCACAAAGTCCACCGCAAATATCTCGTCCCCCTGCCAAATGGGAGGCGATCCAAGTCAGGTCCAACTATTGCGTCCAGGGCTCCATTCTCAGAGCTGGGATCTTCAGCTGACACCCGGTCCTGCCTATTTCTATGGAGTCTCATCTAAGGTGGCTCCTTGGATCTGTCTCAATCTATAGGCTAAGCGATCAGTTTAACCTCTCCTTCCGTGCTTGATCTCTAGAGCAGAAAAGGGAAGGAAGATACAGAGAACACACCCTGGTCTTCTAGCCAGGAGGAGTAAATTAAACCTCAGGAACAAGATATTCACGGGGTTTGCTTTACTGGTTACCTTCCTCGGCTTCTTCGTCGGCAAACATGGCTGCCCCCGGTCCTGCCCACTGGGAAGGGATCCCTTCTCTGGGGTCTTGCAGACCTGCCCTTGAGAGATTCTTGGGACACCTTGTTCTAGGAGGGGACACAGCTACCTGGGAACCTGCTTCACGTTGGTGCTGGGACGTGGGCTTAGGAATCACCCAGAGGGTAAGCCGTCACAAGCCCCAGTTTGCCAGGTTTTAGGGTTTCCTGGAGTTTCAATTCCCACAGAAGCTTAGCTAGTTGGCTGTCAGTTTTGTTTTGGGTCAGTCATTGACCCAACAACCACTGCCATGAACTCCTGTCCAGTAGAATATTCAGCCACAG